CTCACCCTTCCTCCTCCTCCTCCTCCTCCCACCCGTCCTCCGCTCCCCTCCCCGCTTTGCCGTTGGCCGCCCTCGGAAGCCCCCCGAACGCGGCGCTCAGACACGCGGCCTCGGCTCCGATCCACGCCACGTAGAACCGCATCCGGAAGGCGAAGAAAACGGCGGAGATGTAGAAGAAGCGGAGGAGGAGCGGCAGCCTTTCGAAGCCCCCCCCGCCGCGGAGCCCCTCCACCGGGAAGAGCCGCGCCGCCAGCAGCCCCGCGGCGCCCAGCAGCGGCGTCCAGCGGAGCCGGAGGAGGACGGAGGACGCGGGCAGCGGAGGCGGGGGGCGGCGGACCCAGCGCTGGTGGGTGGAGAACCGGTAGAAGGGGCCTGAAGGGGGGCGGGGGGGGAGAAGGGGGTTATGGTGGCGCCCAGAGGGACAGCGGGGAGCCATAGGGACCCATAGGGACAGTGGGGACCCATAGGGACAGCAGGGATCCATAGGGACAGCGGGGACCCATAGGGACCCATAGGGACAGCGGGGACCCATAGGGACCCACAGGGACCTCAGGGACCCCATAGGGACCCATAGGGATCTCAAGGACCCCATAGGGACCCCCCGGACCCGCAGCCCCACCCACCTGTCAGTAGCCCCAGGTAGCAGTAGCTGTAGCACAGGACGTCAATCACCCCGGGGCAGCCAATCGCCTTTTTCCCGAGCTTCGACGTCACTTCCGGCCCCGCCTCCAGCTCCTCCTGCACGTCCCAGGCCAGGCTCACCAGCTGGGGGCGGAGCCACGATCATTAGGCCACGCCCCCTCATATAAAGCCACGCCTCTCCACGTGGTGGGCGGAGCTCGACGCTGCAGAGACACGCCCACTTTCACAGGTCCATAGAAACCCATAGAGACCCATAGGGACCCATAGCGACCCATAGAGACCCACAGGGACCCACAGAAACCCCATAGAGACCCATAGGGACCCATAGAGACCCACAGCGACCCCATAGAGACCCATAGAAATCTATAGAAACCCACAGGGGCCCCAAAGAGACCCATAGAGACCCATAGAGACCCATAGAGACCCACAGGGACCCACAGAGAGCTATGGGGACCCCATAGAGACCCATAGGGACCCACAGAGCCCCATAGAGACCCCATAGGCCCCATAGGGACCCACAGCCCCGCCCCATGGCAGCACCTTGAGGGTGAGCAGCAGCTGCAGGGCGTTGGCGTAGGGGGGCGGGGGGGGCAGCCCCCAAACCGGGGCGGTGCGGAAGAGCAGCAGGTAGCCAAAGGTCCACAGCATGGAGCCCGCCCCACAGCGCCTATGGGGCACAGGGGGGGGTCAGGGGACTCTGCCCCACAGCGAGCCTGCCCCATAGGGACGGCCCCATAGGAAACCGCCCCCCACCCCATAGCGAAAGTCCCCCAGAGAGAAGCACCGTAGGGACCCCCAAAGACCCCATAGAACCCCCTCAGCCCCGCCGTGACCCCTAAGGCCCCTCCCAGCCCCACAGCCCTCCCCACAGGGACACCCCACCCCATAGGGACACCCCGCCCCATAGAGCCCTACCACAAAACCACAGCAGTGGGGAAGTGGGGCCCACACCTTCCTGCCTCCCCCCCC